CTGGGTTACAGGCATGAGCCACTGTGCCCGGCGAAGTTTGGACTTTAGACAGCTGAGTAGCAATCAAAGGATTTTGAGCAGAGATTTAACTTTCATTCAACAAATATTTAATGAGTTCCTTCTGTGTGTCAGGTACACAGGGGTTGATGATACAGTGATGAACAAAACAAGTCCCTAGCCTAACAAACTTGCACTTGTGGTCTATTGGGGAAACAGTGGATGCATAAATACATAATGTCAATTTGTGGCCAGTGCTATGAAGAGATACAAGGTAGCACAGCAGGATGGAACTTGACTCTGAGGGGTGGGAGTGAGGACTGGCACGAAGGTATTTTCCTTGAGGTGTAGTGAGGGCCTCTTCAGTAAGGGGAAAGTGGAACAGAGACCCAAACCAGGTGAGGGAAGGAGCCAGGCTGATACCTTTGAGAAGAGTGTGCCAGACAGAGGGAACAGCTGATGCAAATAATCCAGTAAGGAGTGCACTTATGGGGGCAGAGCAAAGCAGTGTGCGAGAGGAGTGAGGGAGGTGGTGGAGTGCTAGCAGATGAGGTCAGAAAGGCAGCTGGGGTAGGTGATCCAGGCTTTTAAGGGGCTTGGATTAAATTCTAGAGTAGGATAGGAAGCCACTGAAGGATGGGGAGTGATGTGACAGGTTTGTATTTTAAAAGGACTGTCCTGGATGCCATGTGACAGGGTAGGAGCAGAAGCAGGAAGACGTGTTAGGAGGCTCTTACAGGAAGTGTTGTGTGAAGATGAAAGCGGTGGTGGCGAAGATGGGGCAGGAACTTGAACACCCCCATTTCCCAACCCCCCCCAAAAAAAACCCTAAATCCTCTTCTCCATTTTCTTTCCTCCTATGGCCCTGCTATCTCCCAGCCCCCGCTTCCCTCTCCCCTGTCTTTTGGACTTGTTCCCTGCTCCTGACCTTGAATACTAATTCCTTCAGCTCCTGCGCCTTACTGCAATTGCTTCACTACTCCTAACTTTCCAAGATTACTTTTTCTGGGTAACTAGGTAGGTGGGGTCACTGGGTGACCCCATATCCTCTCACTCAGGTGGTTGTGGCAACGAACATTGCTGAGACATCACTCACCATCGAGGGCATCATTTATGTGCTGGATCCAGGGTTCTGTAAGCAGAAGAGCTACAACCCCCGCACAGGCATGGAATCACTCACTGTCACACCCTGCAGCAAGGTCAGCCTGGGAATGCATGGGGGTGGGGGAGGTGGAGTTGGCCCAGAGAAGGTCCAACTCAGAAGCAGAGTGGGGGCTTCCTAGGGAGTGGGGATGAGCAGTTTGCATCCTTCCAGATTTCTTGTGTAAATACTGCCTTTTCTCTTTTCCCTGACCAAATTGTCAGCCAGCCTGCTCTCCTTTCTTTCCAGGCCTCAGCCAATCAGCGAGCTGGCAGGGCAGGTCGAGTGGCTGCAGGGAAGTGCTTCCGCCTGTATACCGCCTGGGCCTATCAGCACGAGCTTGAGGAAACCACAGTGCCTGAGATCCAGAGGACCAGCTTGGGCAATGTTGTGTTGCTGCTCAAGAGCTTAGGTGATTGGGCTACCTGAGAGAGGAGGGAGGGGCTGGAGTCACTGTCCTTTGAAGGGACTGTGTTCCATCTGTACACCTCTGTCTAGGGATCCATGACCTAATGCACTTTGATTTCCTGGACGCTCCACCATATGAGACACTGCTGCTGGCTTTGGAGCAGCTGTATGCTCTGGGAGCCCTCAACCACCTTGGGGAGCTCACTACGGTGAGTTGGGGGGCAGCATGGCTTGGGGCAGGATGATAGGGGTCAGGATGGCTCCAGGGGCCCCTGTAGTAGTAGTGGGAAACCTGAGGGAGGACTGGGCTCAACTCTCTCTCTCCTCTCCCTAGTCTGGTCGAAAGATGGCAGAGCTGCCGGTGGACCCCATGCTGTCCAAAATGATCTTAGCCTCTGAGAAGTAAGCCCTCCCCTCCACCTGGTCCCCCAGCACACATACTGGCCAGGCCTCCTCTTGTCTCTGGGGTCTTCTTTGTCTTTTTGTCTTCATCATATTATCCTTTAACACATAATAAATTATTAGATAACTCTGATTGCCCTCTTTTGAGGCCAACAAGGGTAAGACACTTGATCCTATCCTTGATTCCACTGTGCCTGGCCCCTTGAGGAACTTACTCGTTCCTAAGGTTTGAAACTGGAACATTTAATGTAGCTGTGGAGGGACGACCTTTAAATGCCATTCCTCTGCTGTCAGAGATCTTTTCCAAATACACATAGTGAATGCACACTTTCTGCAGAAGCCTCAGAAGTCCCCAGTGTTTCCTGCTCCTGCCTCCATGGATGTCCCTCCTTTGTGACTGTGTTTCATCTATGGCCCCTACCTCCTTGACCCCCAGGCTGCTGCCAGAATCTATCTGCTGGCTGCTTTGTAGCCATTAGGCCAACCAGCCTTTTCCACATGAGGAAACATCCATCACACAGTGATCACTCCCCACTCCACCATATCTGTTCCTATGTGTCTTGCTTTGAACTCATGCTTTCCCTTTCCTGTCCCAGGTACAGCTGTTCAGAGGAGATCCTGACAGTGGCTGCCATGCTCTCTGTCAACAACTCCATCTTCTACCGACCAAAGGACAAGGTCGTCCATGCTGACAATGCCCGTGTCAACTTCTTTCTCCCTGGTGGTGACCACCTGGTTCTGCTAAACGTTTACACACAGGTCACTGGGCTTGGGTGAGTGGGAATGAGAGACACCGGGGGACTTTAGTCCTACTGTATACTTAACTGTCTCTCCTTTCTTTTTAATCCTTTTCCCAGTGGGCTGAGAGTGGTTACTCTTCCCAGTGGTGCTATGAGAACTTTGTACAGTTCAGATCAATGCGCCGAGCCCGGGATGTGCGGGAACAGCTGGAAGGGCTCTTGGAACGTGTGGAAGTTGGTCTCAGTTCCTGCCAGGGGGACTATATCCGTGTACGCAAGGTCAGCATTTCTTCAGCCTCCTGCTCTCCACCCCCAGTACCTTCCCAGGAGCAAGCTTCTCTAGGGGCATGCGGCAGTTCCTCCAGCCTGAGAGCATGCCCTCTTCCCCTTGTGTATGACGGTGTCCTCCCAGGGCCCTTTCTTCCCCAGACCACTGAAGGTTCATTCCTGGGAAGTTCTTCATGCATTCCTTACCTCTCTAGTTTTCCTGAAGCTGGAATTAAAAAGGTAGTGAGCTCTTAGGGTCCCCAGATGTCTGCCTTTTCCATTGATTTTCTTTCCTGCCTGCTCCTTAGGCCATCACTGCTGGTTACTTTTACCACACGGCACGGTTGACTCGGAGCGGCTACCGCACAGTAAAACAGCAGCAGACGGTCTTCATTCATCCCAACTCCTCCCTCTTTGAGCAACAGCCACGCTGGCTGCTCTACCACGAACTTGTCTTGACTACCAAAGAGTTCATGAGACAGGTGAGGACAACATCCTGTGCCCACACAGGTGGAGACTATGTAGAGCGATGGTATCCTGACAAGCTAAGAACCCAGGTTCAAGTTGCTGGGACTGGTACAGAAAGAGGAAGGTAGGGTAAAATAGAAAGACATCCTTTGTTTTGTTTTTGTTTTTGAGACTGAGTCTCGCTCTATTGCCCAGGCTGGAGTGCAGTGGCGCAATCTAGCCTCACTGCAACCTCTGCCTCCCGGGTTCAAGATATTCTCATGCCTCAGCCTTCCAAGTAGCTGAGATTACAGGTGCAAGCCTCAATGCCTGGCTAATTTTTGGTATTTTGTTAGAGATGAGGTTTCACCATGTTGGCCAGGCTGGTCTTAAATGCGTGCCTCGGCCTCCCAAAGTGCGGGGATTACAGTTGTAAGCCACTGTGCCCAGCCCAAAGACATCCTTTCTAACAGGTGTCAGCATCTTCCAAGATCTGAGAACTAGACATTTATTCAATACATATTTGAATGGCTACTGTATAGGTGCTGGGGCTATAATGAACAAAGCAGAGTGTCTCTTGTCTCACAGAGTGTACTTTGTCTATGTTCTAGGCTTTTCTTTCTTTTTTTTGAGACAAGAGTTTCGCACTCTAGTAGCCTACGCTGGAGTGCAGTGGCACAGTCTCAGCTCATGCAATCTCTGCCTTCCAGTTTCAAGCAATTCCCCTGCCTCAGCCTCCAGCTGCGATTACAGGTGCCCACCACCACGCCCAGCTAATTTTTGTATTTCTAGTAGAGACAGGGTTTCACCATGTTGGCCAGGTTGATCTCGAACTCCTGACCTCATGATCTGCCCGCCTCAGTCTCCCAAAGTGTTGGGATTACAGGCGTGAGTCACCACGCCCGGCATGTTGTTCTAGACTTTTCTTAGGAATAGCTTATTTGGTATCTTGAATAACACATAGAGGTGTATCTGCCCTTTGGATGTATAATAATAGAGCCAGGCACCTTTACCCCTAGCCCTGCAGTCAAAGAGGAAAGATAACTTTTGACCACACACATGAGGATCTAGGTTGGGGCTGGGCATAGTGGCTCATTCTTGTAAACCATCCTAGCACTTTGGGAGGCCAAGGCAGGATCCCAGCACTTTGGGAGGCCAAGATCAGCCCAGGCAACATACTGAGACCCCATCTATACAAAAAATTAATGGGGCACTGTGATGTGTGCCTGTAGTCTCAGCTACTTGGGAGGCTGAGGCAGAAGGACTGCTTTGAGCCTGGGAGGTCGAGGCTGCAGTGAGCCATGATACGCCACTGCAGTCCAGCCTGGGCAACAGAGCAAGACCCTGTTTCAATTTAAGAAAAAAATAATAATACACAAAAGATCTATGTTAGAAAGAAGGGAACTCCATTGATCTTTTCTCTCTCCTCCTAGGTACTGGAGATTGAGAGCAGTTGGCTTCTGGAGGTGGCTCCCCATTATTATAAGGCCAAGGAGCTAGAAGATCCCCATGCTAAGAAAATGCCCAAAAAAATAGGCAAAACACGAGAAGAGCTAGGGTAAGAGAAGGACGTAAACAGAACCTGTGACACCAGCTCCTTTTCCTTCTATACATTATTTAATACCTATTAAATAAAATTATTTTTGGAATAAAGCTTGTGGGAATATTTGGGATCTAGAGAAAGTGATACATGAAATTCTATCTCATATAGTCAGTTAAACTTTATTATTTACAAGTTAAATTACAGAGCAGCTTTACACAGCATGAGATGGAAAGGAAGGCAGGAGAGAAAAGAGAGGAAGCTGGCTCCTGAGATTCTTGGCTGCCTCCACCTCCTTCTCTTGGGCTTAGCAGTCTTCAGTGCTGCCCCCACTCAAAGGTCAAGGATCAGGGCTTGGAACACAGGTTTAAGTCAGGTTCTGGCTCTGACAGCCCCAGGGCCACCAGGGCTCCCACTAGCAGCTTCTTCACAGGCGTTGGAGGTGAGTGTGAAGGCATCAACTGCAAGGAGAAAGGTTAATGCCAGTTGCGGGAGGCACACAGATGTTCTACCCTTCACCCCACCCAGCCCTACCTAGGACTCACTTTATCTAGACGATGGCGACAAATGAGGCCACTGGAATTCAGGTAGAAAGTGGAGTAGGCATCATAGGTCCTGGGGAATACAGGGAGGCTTACTGAGGGAGAAGGTGACTGGTCCCAAAGCTGAATTCAAGCATTTGTTTAAACGAGTAGTCTCTAAATTCTGCTACATATTAGATCACCTGGGCAACTTACAAACATCTCAGTGCTTAGGTTGTCCCGTCTCAATTAAATCAGTGTTTGGCATCAATATTTTTTAACGATCCTTGGGCATTTCTACCATGCAGCAGTTTGGGAACTGCTGGTTTAAAAACTTATATCCAATGTTTGTGGCTGAGCCTAACATTTTATTGCGATTCTACTCCCAGGCAGAAATTTACCAGGTTGTAAGGCTCAACATAAGAGACAGGACTTTTCATTTGTTCAGTACTTTTTTTTTTTTTTTTTTGGTGAGACGGTTTCACTCTCACCCAGGCTGGAGTGCAGTAATGTGATCACGGCTCACTGCAACTTCCGCCTCCCGGGTTCAAGTAATTCTCCCATCTCAGCCTCCCAAGTACCTGGAACTACAGGTGCACACCACACACCTGGCTAATTTTTGTATTTTTTGGGTTTTACCATGTTGGCCAGGCAGGTCTCCAACTCCTTACCTCAAGTGATCCGCCTGCCTCGGCCTCCCAAAGTGCTAGCATTACAGGCATGAGCCACCACACCCAGCCTGTTCAGTAAGTATTTGAGTACCTACCATATGCTAGGTACTGTATAGGAAGAAACTGAAGCTCAGATGTTTTTCTAATATACTGAGCCTCTCTTTTTTTTTTTTTTTTTAACATTAACATAAACTAAACAAGATCCCTGTCCTTATACAGTCAAGTCAGGATAGGTCAAGGGTTGTCTGGGAGACTAGATCATCTGTAATCTCAGCACTTTGGGAGGCTAAGGCAGGCAGATCACCTGAGGTCAGGAGTTCGAGACCAGCCAGCCAACATGGTGAAACCCCGTATCTACTAAAAATACAAAAATTAGCCAAGTGTGGTGTTGTGCCTGTAATCCCAGCTACCCAGGAGCCTGAGGCCGGAGAATCACTGGAACCCGGGAGGTAGAGGCTGCAGTGAGCTGAGATCACGCCACTGCACTCCATCCTGGGTGACAGAGTGAGACTCCATCTCAAAAGACAAAAGAGGCCGGGCGCGGTGGCTCAAGCCTGTAATCCCAGCACTTTGGGAGGCCGAGATGGGCGGATCACGAGGTCAGGAGATCGAGACCATCCTGGTTAACACGGTGAAACCCCGTCTCTACTAAAAAATACAAAAAACTAGCCGGGCGAGGTGGCGGGTGCCTGTAGTCCCAGCTACTCGGGAGGCTGAGGCAGGAGAATGGCGTGAACCCGGGAGGCGGAGCTTGCAGTGAGCTGAGATCCGGCCACTGCACTCTAGCCTGGGCGACAGAGCGAGACTCCGTCTCAAAAAAAAAAAAAAAAGACAAAAGAGGGAACTGATTATAGTTTGGGTCCTTTCTCATTTCTCTCTTACCGGTAAAGCTCGTCTTTGTCACGCTTGTAGAATCGCAGAAAGAGCAAGTGGACAGGCAGCCCTACGAGCCGCCACCGTGCTTGCAGGGTCCAATTCTCAGGGTGGCGGGTCAGTTGTAGAACCTCCAAACGAAGCTGTGCAAAGTAATTCCAGGCCAGGAAACGGCAGAGGGTCAGTGAAAGAATGTACCATGTCCGGCCCCTATGAAGAAGGGATGGGAAATAAATCTCATGATGGCAGAATTAGAAAAACAAACTGGCTTCTGTCTAAGAAATGGGGAAGAGCCGTGAGAAGCAATCTAGGAACTTCTCTGGGAAGTGGAAAAGGTCATGTGTATAGCTTTGGGTGCTTTTCCTCCCCAAGGCCCTACCTGTGCCCCAATTCTCACTTGGTACGTATGTTGAGGATCTCATTGATGAATTCCACATCCAAGGAATACAGACTGTAGTCATGGGACTGAAGGAAGAGCTTGGGAAGCTAGGTGGAAGAAGATGGCATCAACCCAGTGGGAAAGAAAAGATAATCCTATTTTTCAGTTTTCTATTTTTTCTTTTTTTTTTGACATGGAGTATAGCTCTGTCACCCAGGCTGGAGTGCAGTGGTGTGATCTTGGCTCACTGCAACCTCCGCCTCCCAGGCTTAAGCGATTCTCCTCCCTTAGCCTCCCGAGTAGCTGGGATTACAGGCACCTGCCGTGCCCAGCTGCTAATTTTTGTATTTTTAGTAGAGATGGGGTTTCACTGTGTTGGCCAGGCTGGTCTTGAACTCCTGACCTCGTGATCTGCCTGCCTCGGCCTCCCAAAGTGCTAGGATTGTAAGTGTGAGCCACTGTGCCAGGCCCAGTTTTCTATTTTTAAGGCCTCCTTACTCCCGTCTTGGAGTGAAAGATCTCATCCCATGATTAAACCTCCCTTAACTCAAAATGAGGAACATTTTCTTTTTCTTTTTTTTTTTTTTTTT